AGATGGTAGCATGAAAGAATRCATACAATATTTTTGTAAAAATATGAATAAAATTGATATTTTGAAGTGGGGAGGTCTCACATTAAAAATTGAATTTGGCTTTTTGAAAAAAATCATAATATCTGATACTATTGAACCTGGAATTTCTGTAGTAGCTATTGTGACTTGAGCTGAGGCTCTTGCTCTTCTGTATGGACAGATGATTTCCAGTTATTCATAGAACATCTCTGTTATTTCTTTCCTCTCTCCCCTTATTCTTCCCTTCCTTTTCCCCTCTAGTTCATTTTCTGCTTCTATAATTGAATGCCACAGCCTGGGTAATTTATGAAGAATTTATTCTTCACAGTTCTGGAGTCTGGAAAGTCCAGGGTTGAAGGACTGAATAATGGTTAATTGTATTTCATTGATGAATCTATCATGTTGTTTATTCATTCATTAATCGATAGACTTTTGGGTTTCCACTTTGGGGCTCTTATTGAATATTAGTGCAGGTTTTTGTGTGGTCATATTTTCAGGTCTCTTGGATGTATTTGTAGGAGCGATAATTTTTTTTAATAAACATTATTTATTTATTTATAGATGGACACAATACCTTTATTTTATTTGTTTTAATTTTATGTGGTGCCAGGGATTGAACCCAGTGCCTCACGCATACTAGGCAAGTGCTCTACCACTGAGCCACAACCCTGCCCCCGCCCAATAATGTGATTCTTATGGTACCCCTTTCTCTACATTTTCACCACCACTAGTCCTTGTTGTTTTGCTTATCCATCCTGCTGGGTGTAAAGTGTTATGTCATTGGGCTTTTGATTTACATTTTTCTAGTGACATGTTATTAAGCATCTTCTCAAGTGCTTATTTGTCTTTGGAGAAATGTCTTTTTAAATCCTTTGTTCATTTTATGATTGAATTAGTTGTCTATTGTTACAGTAGTTCCTTATTAGATATGTCAGACTTGCAAAAGTTTTCTCCCATTCTTTAGTTGGCTTTTCATTATCTTGACAATGTCCTCAGTAAGCAGATTTTTTTTTTTTTTTTTTTTTGTGGTGCTGGGGATTGAACCCAGGGCCTTGTGCATGCAAGGCAAGCACTCTACCAACTGAGCTATACACCCAGCCCTTGATACCCAGTATCCTTTGATGCACACAATTTTTAACATTTTTCTTTGGCAGTACTAGGAATTGAACCTGATGTGGGGTGGGGGGGGGTGCTATATTCCCCAGCCTTTTTTTTTWAAATTTAATTTAATTTTTTATTTCAAGACAGGTCTCACTAAGTTGGTGAGACTGGTCTTGAACTTGTGATCCTTCCTGCTTCAGCTTCCCAAGTCACTGGGAAAATGTTTAAATTTTGATGAAGTCCCATTAATTTTTCTTTTGTTGCTTCTACTTATAATGCCATGTTAGGAAACTTGTTGCCTAATCCAAAGTAATGAAAATATCCACATCCCTTTCTTTCTGAGACTTTTATATCTTTGATCCATGATGAACTAATTTTTGTGTGTTGTGTATTATGTTAGGAAGTGGTTCAACTTCATGGTTTGCTATGTGGATATCCACTCATATAGCACCAATTGTTGAAGACTATTCTTTGTCCATTGAATTGTCTTTGCACTTTTGTGAAAAATCAGTCCATCATAGATGTTTGGGTCTATTTGTGGACTCTTAATTCTATCCCATTGATCTCTATCCTTGTGCCAGCACTAAACCATTTTGATTACTGTAGCTTAATAAGTTTTGTAGTCAATATTGTTTTCGCTATTTAGGGCCCATTGCAGTTCCATATGAATTTGAGGATCAGCATTTCCATTTCTGAAAAGAGGCCATTAGAGTTTTGACAGAGATTGCATTCAATCTATAGATTACTTTGGGGGGTAGTTTGGCTTCTTAAAAATGTCTCCCCATCCATTAACATGGTTATGGGATGACTTTTTGTATATTTAGATCTACTTTAATTTCATTAATTGTTTCATAGTTTTCAGCACACAAGTCTTGCATTTATTTAAATATTCTTAACTATTTTACAGTTTTTGATACTATCATAAATGGAATTGATTTCTCAATTTCATTCCAAAATGTTTATTGTTAATATATAGAAATACACCTCATTTTTTTAGTGTTGATATTGTATCCTGTAACCATGGTGAACTTGTTTCATAGTTCTAATTGTGTTTTTGTGAATTTAAGACTTTTCTGTGTAATATACATCACTTAAAATATGTATACCTAAACTCCTTGTCTAATCTGGGTTCTTTTTATCTTCTTGCCTCATATTCTGACTAAAACCTCCAGTACAGTATTACATAGAAGTAGTAAGACCAGACATCCTTGGATTGTTTCCGATTTTAGGGGGGATGTATCTAGGCTTTCACCATTAAGTATGATGTTAGTTGTGAATTTTTCATAGATGTTCTTTATCAACTAGAAGATATTCTCTTCTATTTGTTGTCTTTTGAGTATTACTCATGTTGAATTTTTACACGTTTTTTGTTGAAATGATTATGTGATTTTTATCCTATATTCTATTAATCTGATTTATTGCATTGGTTGGTTTTGTATTCTGAACCTACTTTTTTGTATTATGAATACATATCCCATGTGTTCATGGAGTATATTCCTTTTTTCATGTTCTAGATTATATTTGCTAGTATTGTGCTAATAAATTTTACATCTGTATTCACAAGGGATATTGATCTGCAATTTTCTTGTGTTGTCTTTTTCTGGTTTTGGTATCAGAGTTATTTATACTGGCTTCGGAATGAATTGATAATCATTATTGTTAGTTTTTTATGTTTGAAACCATATGGTAGAGGACTTTTTATTTGTGAGAGGTTTTTCATTTTTAATTCAGTCTCCTTGATTTTTATAGGTCTGTTTAGACTCTGTTATGGTTGTTTGTCTCTTTTTTCCCTTGGGTAGACTAGCTTTGTTGATCTTTTCAAAAATTAACTTTTGTTTCATTGATGTAAAAAAAATTTATGGTGTTCCTGTTTTCTAGCTCATTTCTATAATTCTACCTTGTAATTTCCTTCCACTCATCTCTATTGTTTCTTTTCTTCAGTTTGCTTTGGGCTTAAATTTTTTTCTAACTTTTTTAAGGTGTAAGTTTAGGTTATTGATTTGAGGTCTTTCTTTTAATATAAACATTAACAGTTACAAGTTTCATTTTTAATTGCGATGCATGCATAAAGTTTCTGTTGGTTGTGTTTTCATGTTTATCTCACAGTATGTTCTAACTTCCTTGTGACTTCTTTTCGAACCACCAGTTCTTTTTGAGTATGTGGTTTAATTTTCACATATTTGTGAATTCCCCAGATTTCCTTTTGTTACCAATTTCTGACTTTACTGCATTGTTGTCAGAGAACACATTTTGGGTGATTGCGTATGTTGAGATTAGTTTTATTGCCTAGCATATGGGCTGTCCTGGAAGATACTCTATTGTGCATTCTGCTGTTTTGAGGGTTTGAAGTTTTACAGATGTCTATTAAGTCTAGTAGTTGAGTAATTTTGTCCAAATCTTGTTTCCTCATTGACTTTCTACTTTTTAAATCCATTATTGAAAATGGGGCATCAAAGTTTACCACTCTTATATATGAATTGCATGTTTCTTCCTTAAATTCTGTCATTTTTGTTTCATGTACTTTGAGACTATTAGGTGCATATGTTTATAATTGCAGTATGTTGTTGTCAAATAGGCCATTTTCATTATAAAGTGCCCATTTTACTAATAACTTATTGTTATAATCTATTTAGTCTGATATTAGTATAGCCATTCCAGGCCTCTTGGCTACTCTTTGCATAGTATATCTTATTCTATACTTTCACTTACAAACTATTTTGTCTTTGAATTTAAATGTGTCTCTTGTAGGCAACATATAGTTGATCATGTTTTAAAATCTATTCTGCTAATCTCTGTGTTTTAATTGGTTTGTTCATCCCATTTATATTTAAGGCAGTTACCATAAGATAGGATTATATTGGGGGGGTTTACTTGTATCTCTTGTCTGTTGTCTTATTGTTACTCAGTTTCTCTATTACTACCTTTTATGTTAAATAACTTTTTTTTTTTTTTTTTTGGTACCAAGGATTGAGCTCAGGGGCACTTAACCACTGAGGCACATCACCAGCCCTTTTTAAAATTTTATTTAGAGATAGGGTCTCACTGAATTTCTTAGGGCCTTGCTAAATTGCTGAGGCTGGCTTGAACTCTTGATCCTCTTGCCTCAGCCTCCTAAGCTGCTGGGATTACAGGCATGCACCACTGTGCCAGTGTGCCAGATAATTATTTTTGAGTATGCCATTTGAATTCTCTTGTTTTCTTTGATATATATTTTGAAAATTCTTTTTTTTTTTTTTTAGTGATTGACCTGAGTATTAGAGTTAACATTTTAATTTATAAACAGTATAGTTTGGTTGATACAAACTTTATTGCAATAACATACGAATATACTTTTTTATACTCTATATAACTCTGTCTTTCCCCTTTGTGTTATTATTACGAGGTAAATTATATCATTATATGTTGAATTTCTTACAACAGTTACAATTATTGCTTTATGCGGTTTTCTTTAAACAAATGTTTTAATTTCCTATTGCTGCTTATGTAGAAAAGAATTAATGTGACAGACTACTTATCCTTAGAAAGACCTGCTTACAAGGTTAACCTTTGACTGGCACTTGAGGACTTGGATTTCAGGAGAGTTCCAACATCCTAACTAATAACTGGTAATGGCTTATTGTCCCTAAGCTATTTGTACAAACACTATGGTTTATTCTGAATGCTTTTCTTTTGGGAGTCTGGAATTTTGGTGTGTTAGATAAGGGTGCCTACATGATAGCTTTCCAACATAAAGTACTTCTGTCAGAAAAAAATACATAAAATATTCATATTGTGTATTTCTCATTAGTGTTGTCTATACTACTTTTCTTCTTTTTGTGGCTGCCTCTTCTGTTTCTTACTATTAATGTGTTTGGGTTTTTTTGTTTGTTTTACTTCATAAGGCAATAAAGAATGCTGATGGGAGAGCCATTTTCCTAACTTACAAATTATCAAGCTGATTGCCATAATGGGTGAGTTCAAACTAAAAGAATTTTCAGTTATAATTAAAGGATAGGATGGGGGAATTTTTTTCTCTATTATGTGTTATAGTAAGACATTTTATATATAAATTTTATAATGTATCAGATTTATGTAATGTTTATTTTTACTTAATAGATTTTTCAGTTAAAGTACTTTTTGTGTTAGTTGTTTACAGTTTTAGAATGATAATTTTGTGCAGGAGACACAGTAGGGACATTCAGAGTAAACTGTTCAGATGAATTATGATTTGCTTCAGCGTCTGATGTCAAGAGAAAAATAAATTATAAAATTGAATTGTCGAGTAATACAGTAAACAATTGATGCTTGGGAATGATAATTTAAAGGGACTGAACCATAAAAGAAGGGATTGTGGGGTCAAGTGCAGTGGTATATTCCTGTAATCCCAACAACTCAGGAGGTTGAGGCAGGAGGATTGAAAGTTTAAGCCTAGCCTCAGCAATTTAGTGAGACCCTGTCTCAAAATTAAAAGGGCTGAGCAATCCCCAATACTACCACACATACACACACACACACACACACAAAAAAAAAAAAAAAACTGAATTGTGGGTGTTCATTTATATATTTTCTCCCCACTTGCCTTTTTCTCCTAGGTCTTGAGGGTTCCATTCTGAGAAGGGATTAGAGAAGGAGATACTTATTATTTCTCACAGTTATTTTTCAAGTGTAATGAATATGTATATGATATCTAATTCAGTGTATCTTTAATTAAAGATTTCATTTGAAGTTATCTCAGTTTTTTTGATTTTATGTTCATATGAATGTCCTTTTTTTTTTTTTTTTAAACACACATTAGAAATCCACTGCTCTTTCTATGTGCTCATTTGTCTGTCTGATATCCTCTGGGCATTCTCACTGTGTTTTGGGTCTATCCATGACCTATACGACATTTATAACTAATATGCCTAGTACCCTGTGACCACCACAGGGATTCATAATAGAGTACAACAGTCTTAAGAATTGTTTAGAATAGTGCTTATTTTATGTTCACACTAAGTTTGATCTTTTGTGGATTTGGGATTTGTTCACATTTTATCAATCTCCTCAAAGTAAGTTTCTTGATATAGGTACTTGTCTACCATGTAATTCTTGAAGCCTGCAAAAGAAGAAACTCAGATTGTCCTTTGTTTTGTATGTCATCTTCCCAAGATTTAAACTTTTTGTTCATTTGGACTTTTCCCTTTTTACACATATGGTAGAAAATGGTACATTTTCTCTTTTTTTTTAAATTGGTACATTGTGACTACACATAATAGTGGGATTCATTGTTACTTTAACAGTCTTTTTTTTTCTTTTTTTTTTTTTTTTAAGTCATCATTGGGGATAAAACCCAAGGCTTCATGCATACTAGGCAAGTGCTCTACCACTGAGCTAGTGCTCTACCACTGAGCTACATTCCTAGCCCAACTCGTATTTCTTAACAAAGAAATAAACATGTAAATATAAGAGATTTTCTGTTTGAACATTATGATACTATATATATTAAAACTCTGAATTCAAGTGCTAAAGATTTTTCTAATAAAATAATTAAAACAACATAAATACATTTAAATATTTGAGTTTTCCTCTCCCCTGTACAGAATTAAGCATTTTAACATTCCTCAAGAAGGTCACATCAGATGATTTTATTTCAGTTGGTTGATATCATTCTGAGCTTATTTAACCTGAGAGAAAATTTATTTTCTTTATCAATAATCAACATAGGCTGGCATGGACCTATTTATGCATCACTTGTTGTAATTATATTGTATCTGATTGACTCAGTTACCTATTTGGTTAAGCTAACATGACAATTTTATTTTACAAAGGATTCTTTGTAAATGATTATAAAATTTTCTTTTAACTGGAATTTATTATTAAAACGATTGTAATTATTTTAAATTTTAACATGCAAATACTTTTTCTATGGAATAGAATATCTTGAACATTATTAAAAATTATTAATTAGGGAAGTCAACTGTGTGTTTGAAAGACTATTGAAACTCTTGAATTGTCAGATTGTTTATAATAATTTCTCTTACAGGATGTACCATGTTTTAATTAGTATTAAGCAACACAGATGATGATGATGATGATGATGATGATGATGATGATGATAATGTTATTATTATAATAATATTTCTCTTTTTGGACATTGTGATGCTATGTATTAAAACTTATGTTATTATTATAACATTATTATTATTATCATTTTGGTACTGGGAATTAATTGAACCCAGAGGCACTTCACCACTGAACTACATCCTCAGTCTTTTTTATTTTACATTTTGAGACAGGGTCTCCCTAATTGCTGAGGCTGACCTCAAACTTACCATCCTCCTGCCTCAATTTCTTGAGTCATTGTAATTAGAGGCGTGGGTCACCGGACCCATCCTGGAACATAAATTATTATAGACCAAAATGTAAATATGAAGTTTTTGTTTCTTTTATTTACCAATTGTTAATAATTATTAGTAGAATTGATTTATTAATGAAATTCAGTTAACTTGTCCCTAAAGTCTTCTAGATAGTTTATAATTGCATTGCTGAGAGGCATATTCTTTATAGTTTCAAAAACAAATCAATTCTTTTATTTTCTATTTTTTATTTATTATTTTTAGATATACATGACAATAGAATATATTTTGACATGCATACATGGAATCAAAAAGAAATCTTCAAATGGACCAAATTTTACTTTTATATTGTGTGTGTATAAACAAATAATGTAATATCAAATCCCATATATAATTATAATGCACTAATAACAAACATCTAAAATTTTTATAAAAGAAATCTTTAATATGTTTGGAAGAAGCTAAAAGTTCATGGTTCATGAAACTTAGTTTTCTGGATTTGGTACTTTTTCTAAGGAAATAAATTTTCCTGTAGGGTTAACTTTTTAAATTGTTACTGGCCAAAATTCTTAGATATTCTGTTATGTTTATGGTCTAGTCAACTCTGATGGTGAAGAAATTTGAGGGATCCGTTCCAAATATCAGCAGGCCCATATCCACAGATGAAGCTTTGAAGTCTGCACTTTACTATAAATATTTGGGGCTGGGGTTGTGGCTCAATGGCTGAGCTCTTGCCTTGCACATTTGAGGCACTGGGTTCGATCCTCAGCACAACATAAAAATAAATAAGCAAAATAAAGATATTTTAAAAACTCAACATAGTAATGATAAAAATATAAATACTTAATGAATATTTTACAAGTTGCTTTATTTTTCCCACTTGTTTTTATTAAGATTTTAAGATGTCTTTTTAAAAAATTTGTTCTAATTAGTTATACATGATAGTAGAATGCATTTTGACACATCATACATAAATGGAGTGTAGACTTATACAGGTCAAATAATCATATACATACATAGGATAATAATGTCTGATTCATTCTTCTACCATTCCTGCCCCCTTACCCCCTCCCCTCCCCAGATGTCTTTGTTTGTTTAGGTGTTATGGAAAAGAATTTATAGTAATAGGGCTGTTTTGATCCTTATCCTAAAATGTTTAATCGTTAGAAGAATCAGAATGACTTTTTCTCGCCTATAAATGTCTTGTGTGGACTCCATCTTTTTTGTTTTCATTTTTAAAAATAATTAAAATTTTATTTCACCAAAAGTGTAGGTATTAAAATGCTCTAGGTGTAGTTTTACATTAAATCAATGCATTTTTATTAACTTTCATATAAATTTTGTTCAATGTCTGTGATAAGTATATATTGGAATTACAATTCTGTGTATGTTTAAAAATACCTAGATGATCAGCAAGCTTTGAACTCAATCATGCAAGATTTGGCTGTCCTTCATAAGGCCAGTCGACCAGCATTATCCTTACAGGAAACCAGAAAAACGAAATCTTCATCACCAAAAAAGCAGGTATTTGTTCAATAATATTTTTATAAGTATATTTTGTTGCTTTATGAATTATTTCCTTTAATGTTCTGATCCTATAAAAGACTAATTTAATGTGTGTATCTTTTATACTTTTGAGCCAAATGTTTTGTTATATACATTTTCCTGGGACAGTATACATTAAAAAAACATAGTTTCATTTAATGTGGTAACTGCTTTCTAAAGGTGTTATTTTATCCATTCTTAAAGCACTTAAGCAATTTTCCTTCAAATAATCTACTCTGGCTATTTACAAATGAAGGTGATTTTAATTCTTATAAATGAAATTCATTTGTGATGCCCAGTATGAAAAGTGGAAATATAGTAGTTCCTCCTTATCTGTGGTTTTGCTTTCCACGGGTTTACCCATATGTCAACTGAGGCCTAAAATATTTGATGGAAAATTCCAGAAATAAACAGTTCTTAAGTCTTCAGTAGTAATGATGTTCTGAGTAGCATGATAAAATCTTGCACTGTTGCTCTCTCCTGCCTAGAACATTAATTTACATTTGTCTATTTTATTTATGATGTATATTTTACCTATCTGTCAATTAGTATAACCTCAGTTATAAGATTGACTGCCACAGTATCATGTGTTCAAGTAACCCTTAATAACTTAATAATAGCCCCAAAGTACCAGAGCTGTGATTCTGGCAATTTGGATATGCCAAAGAGAAGCTGTTAAGTGCTTTCTTTAACTCCGATGCCCCATCATCTTATATATAGGATATGTATAAAAACTTAAATTGGGGCTGGGGATGTGGCTCAAGCGGTAGCGCGCTCGCCTGGCATGCATGCGGCCCGGGTTCGATCCTCAGCACTACATACCAACAAAGATGTTGTGTCTGCCAAGAACTAAAAAATAAATATTAAAAAAATTCTCTCTCTCTCTCTCTCTCTTAAAAAAAAAAAAAAAACTTAAATTGAGCCAGGTGCAGTGGCACATGCCTGTAATCCCAGTGGCTTGGGAGGCTGAAGCAGGAGGATCACAAGTTCAAAGCCAGCCTCAGTAACTTAACCTGGGCCTAAGCAAATTAGACCTTGTCTTAAAATAAAAAAGGGCTGGGGATGTGGCTCAGTGATTAAGTGCCTCTGGGTTCAATCCCCGGTATCCCACTTCCCCAAATTAAATTGACTTTTATAGTTTTTATAGGTAACCTATATATAGAATGATGGGACGTAATGGGTGGTTAAGAGAAGAGGTGAAAGTTGTCAATAAGATGGGGAATCTTAGAACATTTACCACATGTTTAAGGGGGACTGTGATAAAGTATTATGTATTTCCCTATAACAGGATCAGTAAATGTTTTATATCCTTGGTTCCTTCACTAATAGATCTTAGTGTTCTTTCCTATTGTGCCTAGTTTCACCAACATAATTCTCAGCTGAGCTTTTTAACAGATATTATCAAATGATTGGACTGGCTTTGAAAATGAAACCTTCTTTCCTTTCTGTTTTATATTAAATGAATGGCTAAGAAAATATGATTTTAGAAATTCTAAAAGTTTTATCTGAATAATTACAATTGGTTTGTCATTTCATTATAGAATGATGTCCGAGTGAAATTTGAACATAGAGGAGAAAAAAGGTAAGGAAGGAAACATAACATGTCACTTCATTTAGTAAAACATATATTCTGATTAAGCTATAAAGGTTTCTTCCATATGTGAATGAATTTCGTGGCCTAAAATTGAGAAATGAGTGGTCTTTGGTAGTGTGTAACATGTGACTTAGACTGGAGTTTGTTAAAATTCTGCCTAAACGTTAGAATTGATTAATGTTTTTACTTTGCAATATCAGGAACTAAGTAAGGTCACTGCATAATGCAGCCCTTATTGCATTTTCTTTTACTTTTGCTCAGTGGAAATTAAATATATTTCTTCTTAAAATTGTATCATCCCTCCAGATACTATACAGAATTTATATATGTGGACTTAATATTTATAATTTTGATTATTCTCAAGAGACCTCAATGCTATGACATGTATTTCGTTGGTAATGTTGAGGAAGGTGAGTTGGAATGGTGGCTGCAAGTTATTTTAGCAGAGATATAAATTTAACCTTCCACTTGGTATCTGTATATCAGTGCAAAAGTGGTAGTAGTGATAGTTAACAACGAAATTACTAACATGACCTGAAAGTAGTTAGAGAAAAGTGATTTTATTTCTACTTTTAGTGTCCCTGTAGTTAATTTACTCATCTGTTAATTCTAAACACTTTAAAATGGGTCACAAATCATAAAATTTGAAGATGTAAAGATGTTTTACAGATAGATGTTGAGAAAAATGAAATATACCAGACATACCATAGAATCATTGTTCACTCTACTTTCTTATTCAAGATTCTTTTAGGAATTTTTCCCCAAGTTTTCATTCAGTCCTATTTATTGAGTACTTACTATATGTTAGGCATAATGGGAGCAAAGCAGATGTGGGCTTTTGTTTGGAATTTATAACCCTATGTGGTAGTATCCAAGCTTTAATGCATGCTCTCTAGGGCAGTGCAGGCTAGTCTTTTGGAATATGGGAAGAAATGTTATATAATTTTATTTTCTTTCAATATTTCAATCCCTTTAAAATGTTTATTTTGGAGTCAGGCTTACATAATATATTTGCTCAAAAATGTTGAGTTGAAGCAGGGTGTGGTGGCACATGCTGTAATCCCAACAGCTTGAGAGGAGGAGGCAGGAGGATCTAGAGTTCAAAGCCAGCCTCATCAATTTAGTGAGACCCTAAGCAACTTAGTGAGACCCTGTCTCTAAAGAAATTACATTAAAAAAAGGATTGGAATGTGGCTCAGTGGTTAAGCACCCCTGAGTTCAATCCCCAGTACCAAAAAAAATGTTGAGTTGGTAAGGGTATAGAGAGAAAAAATTTGAATCCCCAAAGAACAATTTTACTTTTTTTTTTTTTAACAGTTTCATTGTATTCTGCTGTGCATTTGTCACATAAATTTGATCACATTCCTCAGTGGATGTTTTATATTGCTCTTTAACATTTTCAGTGTGGATTAAAAACTGTAGATTAAAAACTGAAGTTTTGAGAATTGTTTTTTAAAATTAGGATAGAGCAAACAAACTTCAGAGTTTTTAAACTTCATGTTGAAAAATTTGTATACTCAATAAAAATGAGCTGTTATAGTCATAAAAAACAAAATTATGTTGTTTGCAGGAAAATGAATGGAACTTAAGATCATTATGTTAAGTGAAATAAGACAAATTCAAAGAGTCATTATATTTTCTCTCATGTGGATGCTAGAGAGAAAGAAGGAAAAGAAAAGTATAGGGTGATAAGTAGAACAGAAGAAAGGGACCAGAGGGTAGAAGGATTTGGAAGGTGGAGTGCTAGGGAGTGATGTTAGCCAAATTATATCATCATATTGTGTGCATATATGAGTATGTAACAGTGGATTCCACATTGTATACAAGTATAATGCACTAGTAAAAAATGTGGAAAAAGTAAATAAATAAATAGAAAATGAACTGTTGAAGTTTATTTTTTGCTTAATTTTGTATTTAGGAAATGTTGTATATATTTAACTGCCTAAAATAAATAAAATATTTAAAAATTTTGTCCATATAGAATCCTTCAGTTTCCCAGACCAGTTAAACTGGGAGATCTGAGATCTAAAGCCAAAATTGCCTTTGGACAGTCTATGGATCTACATTATACCAATAACGAGGTAAACAAATATAGTTTAACTTTTGGTAGTCTTTATTTTAGAATAAGTGTGTGCATTTCATATCATTTAAGGACTTTTGTGTTTTTATTTAGTTATTGATAAGAATATGGTATGTTAGACAAAATATCTCAGGTAAATTTGTAAATTCTAACTGATCAAAATGGGTTTTTTCCCATTGTGGAGATAATAGAAGGTTCAACTGTTGTGCAAATAATTGAATAAGAGTCCATGCTAGCAGGAAATATATGTACTACTTGGTTATACTTTATATGTAACTACTTATATATTTTTAATTTTTATTCTATTATTTTATTGCTAAATGATCTTTTTTCTCTCATACTGTACTTGGCTGCAGACAATGGAACTTTGGTAGTCAGACAATTTAGTTGAAACTTAAAGGATTATTTTCTGTTGGTTAGGACAGATTAGATTGTTATGTTTGGGGGTCAGAACATGTGATTTTAAGGGCTCTGGCACTGAAGAACAGCCTCTCATGGGGTAGGCATTATAGATTTGTAGTATGAAGCAATTTATAAATGAATTGTTTATATATGAAGTTCTTTGAAGGAAATGCATTGTGTTGATGAATAAAGACAAGGACAGTAGGTATTCATGGTATTAAGGAAGTAACTGAGGTGGTGACATTTTTTTTCCTTGAATAAATAATTTTTAAATTCTTTTTAGCTATACATGACAGTAGGGTGTATTTTGACATATATAAACATGCAGTGTAACTTATTCTAATTGGGAAGATGGTGACATTTAGTAAATATCTCCACTAGACACAGAAACATTAGTATGAAACCCTGCAACAAATTTTAGGGGAAGAATGTTGCTGGGAGAGAAAGCAGCTTGAGAGCAGTTCATATAGAGATCCTAAGATGGGAAAGACTTGTATGTTGTAGGAATAGGGAAGGTACCAATGGGGATAGAATAACAGTGGAAATCTTGATAAACTTACCTTAAGAGAAAACATGTGAAACTGCTTTGTAAATGTTAAAGCACTGTTCAAATAAAACATTTGAAAATAGTAGATTTTAAATGAGGTAATTATTAATTTAAAACCAAATTGAATACTAACGTAGCAAGTAATGCCTGTCTGAAGAAATCACTGTATTAATTTGATAAAGTAAAAATCCATATCCTCTGTAGTAATAGCTTGAAATTTTATTTTTCAAATACTTTTTGGGTTTTTATTTAGCCATAAACACATCTTACTGCTCAGCCCAATTTTGGCACTTTATTTCTGTACATGCTGGTCTGATTTCTAGCTGCCAGCCCTTGGGACTCTGAGGGATTTCTAGAATTATGACCCCAGGGTAGTGCAGATGAATGGACTGCACTTGCTGAAAGTGATAACTTGCTGAATAATACACCCTTCATGAACCTCATTCCTTTCCTTGTTTCCCCCATTCCCCTGCCAGTGTTTCCTAGTATCTTTTTCCCATATAATAAATTTGAATCCTTATTTCACAGTATGATTCTAGGGAACCAAGACATCACTCTATGTGTGTGTGTGTGKGGGGGGGTCTCAAATTGTATCATGGAAAACTTTCAGATGCCTAAATACATTAAGATTACAATGTTGTCTTCATCTACCAGCCTGGTAGGTTAGTCACAAAAAATGGGGTTATTTTGACATTTGTCCATATTGTACCTGTGCTGACTCCTAGAATAGCTGGGTTTTTTGTTTGTTTGTTTTGGTTTTTTTTTTTCTTAGTTCTTCCAATCCCCCTACCCGGGTCCTGGGTTTCTAGAGTATTGGCATCAAGTTGTCTGATTTTGTAATTTCAGGAACTCTTTCTTATTTCCTTTAAAAAAAATTGAATATTCTTCTCATTGTAGTTTATTTTTCTCGTGCTTTTTGAAGGGCTTTTATAAGTGATTCTGACATTATAAAATGTGAGAGGCCTCTTTGCAGGAATCTACTAGAGGTAGTATTAGGGTAAGATTGCATTTAAGATTTCTTACAGCCCCGAGGTTATGTGAGAATCTATTTTCAGTGAGCTAATCAGTCCTGATTCACATCAGAATGTTGTCCCAAACCGAACCCAGGATGTTGTATTTTGGTGGTACTAGGAAAAATCTTATAGTTTTCCTTCTCTACTATCTAAAATAAGAAAGATCTTAGAAAATCCTTCCTTTGCCTGAACACCTCCATACCCCTCCCAGCAACACATGATACATATAGCCATCACTTTATTAGGTAAAGAGGAGCCAAACCAACAAATTCAGCCAATCCGGGGCTGGGGTTGTGGCTCAGTGATAGAGCACTTGCCTCGCATGTGTGAGACACTTGGTTCAATCCTCAGCACCACATAAAAATAAATAAATAATACAAAGGTATTGTGTTCATCTACAACTAATAAATTTTAAAAAAATTCAACTAATCCCAGCTTAAATTTGTTGGTTCTTTCAATTTTGGAAAACTTGGTATTTATGAAATAATGTTCATTTTCAAAAGAGGAATTCATGTTATGCTAGAAAAAATATTTATAAAGAAGTAGAATAAAAATAAAATAAATGAGTTTTATGCTTGTCTACAGGTCCATAAAACTACCACCCCTTATATGGATTGTTTTCAGATTTAATTATGTAAAAAAAGGAAGATAGTTTTTTCTTTATTAAGTTCTATTTAATATGTACTTATAATGTGTACTTAGACTTAATTTTTAGTTTTATTTTCAGAAAGGATTTAGAAACGTACTTCTGATTTACCAAAAATAAGCCAGAGGGTAACAAATTTCATGAATGAGGCTAAAATGATTCACCAAACAAGCAAACATTCTGTGATTTATTTAGTATAATTTAGATAAGTTGGAACTTATCCTTGACTCTATCTTCATTTTACATTTTATAACAGGTGACATTAAGATGTGAGGGATCATATCAGGATTATAAAAATAGAGTATTGAAGATAGGAGCAAGATAATACAAACATGGGGTTGGGGGCATAGTTCTGTGGTAGAATGCTTGAGGTTATGGGTTCCATTCCTAGCACCACAATAAATAAATAGATAGATAGTTTTTGTTTAAAAATAAAGATACACAAATATGATTCATAATTGGTAGGAAAGTGAATGGATTTAATTAAGCAAATCAGTAGATCAGGCTTTAGATCTGACACCAAACAGTTTATTAGAAAACATTTCTTACAGAGATAAAAGAGCCCAGTACTTAGTTGATAACTTGTAGTAATATACAATTAGCTGTAAAAATACATTGGAAATAAAATTTAAGTACAGAATAAGTAAATGCAAGCAGAATGAATGGTGGAATTGATATTACTCCTGGATTATATATGTGCCTAGCATCTTCATTAAACCAAGGACCTTTTTAGAGAAATCTGCATAGAATGAGTGTACAGTATGCCAACTAGAAGGTTCATGTGCAGATTGAGCTCATTCCTGTGATGTTTGGCAGGCCACTGTGCCTGGAGTTGGGGATCCTTATCCTTAAGGGCTTTTTACTATAGAGGACCGAAACCTAAGTAGGCATCACATTTTAAATGGCCCAGATGCTATACTTAGTAGACTTTGTTAACAAGTATGGTATTTGTTTATTTGTTTTTATCCTATCCCTTTTTCAGTGAAATGGATGTACTTTGATGTTATTAATAGAGTTTTCATAAGCCTCTAAGTTGACATTCTTTTTGAAAAAGAAAGGTCATTTTGTTTTTCTTAAATTATGTGAGTCACACTTTATCTCATACACCTCAGGTGCCTCTGTCCTGTATAACATTTTATTCATGAGAATGATACCACCAGTTATGGCTTCTGCTCCCTCACATGTTGAAGTATAACATTAGAGAAGTACACCTAGGCAAGTATATAAAGCAGGGTTATTTAAAAAGAGCAAACCCTGAATGTACACTCTGCTTCCACTGGTCCTCTTGAAGCCAGAATTAGACAGGCAGTTGGTATGGATAGATAAATCAAGTCAGATCAGATCAAGGAGGCCAATTTGAGTGAGTCCAGGAATTTGGAGACTTCTGAGAGGGAGAAGGGGGCCATAGCTGGTATCCTAGTATCCCAAGAAGTGAGGTATTTCCCCTTTTTCTATGTTTTAAGCTTCTTTTGTTCTCCTGCTCTCTTCCCCTTATCTTTTTCCTTCTTGTATGTGACTAGGATGGCCAAAATGTGGGAAACTAGTGGGCTGAAGGGGGAAGGGCAGGATGAAACAGCCCAGGACACATTAATTTACAACTTTTACAACTCAGTGTAGGAAGGGGCAATTCCTGGGACAGGTTACCTTAGCAACAGGTTGGAGCTAGGGCAGGTTGTCTTGATAGGGTGGAAGAAGGGCTCTGAAGGCATTTCAGTTCCTCAGGGGGCAGTCTCCCAACTTCCTGGACTCACTCAAATTGGCCTCCTTGCTCTAACCTGACTCAATTTACCTATCTATACTGACTGCCTGTCTAATTCTGGCTTCAAGAGGACCAGTGGAAGCAGAGTATATATTCAGGATTTGCTCAGAGGTGGCTGGCTGACCCATTTAGTTTACTTGCTTTAGAATGTAGTGGTCAGGTCACTAGGGTTATGGAGATAAACCCTAGGTGGACTATAGTTCTCAGGTTTATTGCTAGGAGCACACTCTGTGACAGCTATCACAGATACTCAGTGTTTGGTATATATCACATATTTCGTTTGAGAGTGAAAATTTGTGGTTACTACTAGAAAAAGAACCAAAAGTTTTATCTATACAGATGAAAAGTAATAGCTTTATTTTATATAGTTTGTACATGAACCCCTTAAAACTGTTTTAGGATGTATAACTTAAATTTAGCAGTATTGTGAAAATACTCTAGGAAATTCATCTTTAAATATACTTATCAAAAAATGTAATAATTAATAAAGCAAAATTTAAAAATATCTGTAGAGTCAGTGTAAGATTTCAATGTTGGTAGGATAGGAAGAGCAGAATAATTAGATACATATACTCATTTAGAATTTAATTCTAGTAACAAATCAAAGAGTATTTTGAGATTTATAATTCCCTTGTAATAGATATTCATGAAAGAACTTGATCTGGTGAGATGACTACATGATTCCTTATGTTTCTTTTTGTTTAGTTGGTAATTCCATTAACTACTCAAGATGACCTGGACAAAGCTGTAGAACTGCTTGATCGTAGTATTCATATGAAGAGCCTCAAGATATTACTTGTGATAAATGGAAGTACACAGGTATGAATAAGGGATTTTTTCCTCTTCAGGAAGAATTTATGGGACTTAATTCTATAAGTTAATATATGAAACAAGTGTGTGTGTGTGTGTGTGTGTGTGTGTATATATATACACACACACATACACTATCGTATCTCTACCCCTCAAAACTACATACTCAAAATTACAAATAAGAATAATATATTATATAGAAACTGACAGCTTTGAAGAATTATGTTAGGATTAAATGATTTTTTTTAATAGAATTTCACTATGTTGCCCAGGCCATCTTTGAACTCTTGAACTCAAGTGATCCTGAAGCTTCACAAGTGATCCTGTAGCCTCAGCCTCCTGAACAGCTGAGATTATTGTCATGGGTCACTATGCCTGGCAGGATTACAATTTCTAAGAGTAGAAGATTTGATAAGGCCCGCTAACAATGTATAATAACTAGGTTGTATTTGGTAGGGGAGAGAATTCTGCTTAAAGCCCTGTGGGAAAAAAAATAGCACTCATGCCCTTTTTCTTTTGTAGGCTACTAATTTAGAACCATTGTCATCACTAGAAGGTTTGGATAACGCAGGATTTGAAACAGAGAGGAAAAAGCGGCTTTCCATAATAGGTAAGAAAGCTAATATCTGAGTCAGGAAATGGTTGATTTCTCAATTTCTTTCTTTTTTTTTTT